GTGCTTGACAATAGAAGAACTTGGTTATTTTAAAATATTTTAAGTTCAAAAAGGACCAAAAAAAAAATTTTTTAAAACCAATATTCTACAGATATAAGCATTGGAGAGAGCCTGTCTAGTATGTCGCAAAGAAATGTATAACATTTTTTCAATTTATTTTCAAAAGCCAGATGTCTATGGAATCGAAAATATCTTTAAGCCATAGGCAATCTTTTAACAAAAGGGTGCCTGATCGGATCAAGTTGCAAAGTTTCAATGCCATATGTAATGGACTTCGGGGGAAAAATTGAGGTATAGACGCCAATGTTCAGTGATGACAGGATAATTTCTTATTCTTATCGAATAATCGAGTAAAAATGTGACATCTGCTTTGAAAGTGAGAATGGCATCTGCTTGTAACAATAGACCACTATACAATCAACATAATGCGCCCCCAGCAGTGCTTTCAGCGCTTTGATTATTCAAGGTACATATGTATCACTTCGCCGTGGTGCAGAGGTAAGCGGTCTCGTTGAGGGTGTGAGAGGCCTATGGTTCAAATCCTAGTCGAGGCAATTCTATTTTTTTTTCATGCAAAATTCCATATGTATCAATCTCAAACTGTTATACAAGAAAATCAAAACGCTGTCGCTGCGTAAGATGAATTATAGTATATAAAAATAAACTTATACAGGTAAGTACATACAGATAGTCAGTATGATTTAGATTGCAAAGATCAGAAAATACCATAGAGCTGCAGCCCTTTGATCTCTTGAATTGATATGCAATTTCCGAAAATAATGTTTTTTCGATGGCCGCTTTTAAAGTGATTTAAAGAAAACAACCAACATATAAAAAATTAGCACCGAATTAGTAATTCATATTTTGTACATTAAAATAACAACAAAAAATACAAATAAAGAATTGAAAAAGTTAAGTTTGTTAATCCTAAATAAGAGTTAAATTAATCCACCGAATTCCAAGAATTGTATGTACTAAGGTGCACATCAGAGACTTTTATTCATGTCACACAAATGTTCATTATTAGAGAAAAATGTTTATTTGATGGCTTTTGTTTATTATTGCCGCAGGCAACATACGCTATGAAACACAACTGGCAACCACAGTATACAGCAAACATAAAACAAATCCTGCTAAGACAATTGTTCAAGCACACTCTGATCTGTTGACAAGTCCCTTTAGGTCTGATGATTACGAAAACTTTGAACTGGGTAAGACAAATGCTGCTTTGTTGACGAAGTCTGTTCTTTCTACCAAACTTGTTTTCTCTGATTTCTTACATTTTAAAGATATATTTTATATCAATGCTTGCATATCGTTAACCGAAATTTGGGTGTTCACTTACTTTTAACAGCTTTATTTTGCTATGTTTAAACAGTTCTTCTCTGCGTTTTTCTGATTGATCAGCGTTTTTACGACTTTCGATGGATCACTTTGTTTCCAGATTTTTTAGTCTTTTGCTGTTAAGGAAATTTCCGAGGATTTCATGCTAAGTAAAAATTATAAGGACAATATTTAACAGGTCTTAACATAAGTGTAATACTTAACATTGAAACTATTAAAATTACAATTGTTTAGTCTACAATAGGCGCATTTACCACATGTATATTCTAATAAAATATCTCCTGAGAAAAATGTGAATAAAGTTTTAAGTGATTTTGATTTACATTTAAAAATCCAAAATGCATTTTTCATGTTTTTTTCTTAATTGTCAAACTGCTTTGAGGAAAAGAACATGTTTAAAATTTGCATCATGACATTTCACACATTTTTAAGATACTTTCATGTCAATTCTACTAATGGAATACAGTGTACATTATTTTCATTAACATTTCTATCTCTGGTCAACACAAGCTCAAGAAGACCAACTACTTCAGTTAAAAACGGACCTTTTTAAACATCTTTCAATCTCTTTCTAGGTCAAGATGAGAATACACGTCCAAAACTCATTTTTGGGAATACAGATTTTGAATATACAATGACAGACAGCGATTCATTAGCATTCATAAGTGTTGCAGGTCGCTCAGATTCTTTTGTTTCAGTAGGACAAAGTCAACTCGATTCAGATTCACATTTCATAGGAACATCTGAAGGCGACAAAAAGTCAGATCATGTTATGATAAAAGCGAATACATTCAAATCATTACAGATGGACAAACCTCCTGAAAATGAAGGACATATACAAAAACATTCATCTTTGCCTCAATGTCAGAAATACCCGCCAAATCCTTCATTTAATTTTGGCAAAAAAGACCGAGTTCCGCCGTCTTCTGTACGAAGTATTAAATATGAAGGTGTGGAATCATCGAATTGTATTTGTAGCAAACACGACGAAAAAAATACGACAGAAACACCAGTGTTACACAAGGAAAAAGGTGAAATATATTTCCATCAGGCGTCTACGTATTATTCACAACAAACTAAATCGGCAGATACTACGAAAACAGAAAAGACACCACACATATTGAATTTCGACTTAAGCATAGACGACGAGGGGATTTATACCTATGAGAACACCACGTTTTGCGAAAACAAAGAGCAAAATAAAGCTTTTGTTAATGAAAACGAAGCAAAAAGAGGCAGTAACAGCAGTACCGGTAGTACATCTAGTTCTGGTAGTAGTGCGGATAGTGTCACGTATGAAAGCCCAGACGAGGGTGCACATTATGAAAATATGATTGTAAGTCAGATAAAATATTTGTGAAACAATATGAAATATTTTCACATGGCCCTGCTAAGGAATATGTATTATTATATTTCTTACACTTCAAATAATTTTATAATCTTACATTTTTCTAACATTTAATGATCTGTCAACAATAGAAACCTTAAAATATTTCTAATACTTTATGTGGAGATTATTTTGAAAAAAAAATAGATAATAAAAATCTATCATATTACAGATCTTACGAGAAGAAGAATATCTTTGCGAAAGAGTGGAAGACGTTAAAAGGTATGTATTCTTCAATGCCAATATTCTTAACCTGTTAATATAATTATGTAGTAATTCATAATGCTAAATTTATTGATAGTTTAAACTTGCGATTATATTATGTCACTAGAAATTTATCATCTAGAGCATTATGTTATAGCGGACTTTGCTTTATACCTTCAACTGTTATTTTTCCCCAGTGATAAATAAGATTCATTGTCACAGCTTCCACATATACAATTGTGTACTATCTTATGCTATTCAGTTAGCTCAGGTTGAAATATTTTCTATAATCGTGACTCCTTTCTTTCTTGCAGGAATCTTCAACACAATCCATCTGGAACATTTCTAATTTGCATTTCCGGATCCGTGCAGGTATGTATTAAAGAAAGACAATAACATTTGCACTGTTTTTTTTTTTACTTTTTCTATTGTGTTTATCTTAGAGTTGTTTAGATTTTTTTAATATTTTAGACAGATCAATATTTTATCCTTCACATTTTCTAATATCAACTGTAGGTTAATGAACATTTTGTCAGTCACTTCTTTGAAATATAGAGTCAATCCAGCTCCATTTCAAATCGTCAGTCTATATTTAAAGAATATACATGTAACACATTGCTGTATAACAAGCATGATGTTAACAAAAATATTTCCTTAAACGATTTGGCCATAATTACTAGGAAAATTATCATTTTGCCTCGCAGGATATAGCCTTAAATATTTAATAAATCTAAGCATGTAGTATGATTTATACATTTTCCAAATTAAATATTTTAAAAAATCTGCAGAAATTGTGGTTCGTCACCGATAATGGACGCAGGTATTTCATCATTCAGCGACAGGTAAGTCATTCTTAGTTTTGATTTAATTTATAAGTTTTAAATATACTTTAAAAGAATGAATTCATTGTTAAGAGTTATTTTTTGTTACTATTTCATTCATGTATTTGTCAGAATTCACTTATCTGTTGACATTCATTTGTGTATTTCAACATGTTTACATGATACAATTTGCCTTTGAAATTCCATTATATTCTCATTAATTGCATTAACATTATGCATTAGGGTGCACTTCATTGAAAGTCCTTAAGTCTTAGGACATAAAATCAACTTTGAAACTAACTTAAGACAGTTTCAATAAATATCTTTATCTTCATTTAAATATTGTATACTATAAAAAATGTATTCTCCTGAGAAAAAAAAGTATGAAATACAATCACACACCCTTTTATTCGCAATGTGTAAATGTTAATCAGGAATTAAAAGAATCATAATTAAGTAAAGTCATAAATTAGGACATTTTCTTTTTATCGCAAAATTGTCTTAGTTTGGTCTTAAGACTGATTTCAGACTAAGGACTGTCTGTGGAACGCAGCCCAAGTTATCCAAAATAATTACCATTTGATATAAATGTTTACATTCATAAACTTAAAATTATCTCCATAAAAACTTTTACTCTATATATATAACCTCGTAGTTAATTTTAATACTATGGCCGATTTTTCATTACATAGCATATATTGTAATAACATTTATTTTCAGCTTTTAAAACAATATTATGATCATCAGTTTAGTAAATTATTTAAAATTAACTACATATTACAAACAAATCAAAATCCATTAGAAAGCAAAACATATTTTGGTTATCTTTTTGGTTGAAGTTTATGCCCCACGTCAAGTCACATGGTGAAATAATGAAATATACGTTAATTAGATCTTTAACAATTCTTCTTATTTTTCAGGGGGAGAAACTATCGCTTTACAAAAACTGTTCAAAGCCAGAAAACATGTTTGATAATCTAAAACAATTACTATATTTTTACCATCTTAACGATTTGCCTTCTAAAAGCTATAAATTGAAACTGAAACGAGCATACAAATCTGCCAAAAAAAAATTAAGTAAATTAGAATAAGAGACTTCAAAGAGTCAACCTATTAATACATGTAAACACAAACAATATAGGACAAAGTAAATCTGACACCAGTTAAAACAGATGTGTTCTTAAAGTTACAGATACTAGGGCGAAAACTTAAACATTAGTACAAATTTGACAAAGATAATGATATATTAAGATATATGTTGTTAATAAACAGAAATTTGAAAAATTACTAGTCGAAAAATTAAATAATTCACTCTAGATCTCAAGTAAAAGATTACAAAATAGATCAATAAATTACGAAACGGAAAGTATATAACTACCAGGAATTTATAGCTTTAGCTACAGCGCTAAGTGTAACAACAAACAAACAGTGTAAAACTGTATGAAGTGTATGAAGTGAAAATGACATATGAAAATAATGATGAAAGTTGTTGTTTATATCGAGAGGTTGACAATAAACTTAACATATATTTGCTAAATAGAGATCGATTGAAAATCTATTGAATACTTCTTTAATGTTTTGACCTTATTATTGTAGAATAATGTTATATATTATATGTGTAATTCACTGTCTCGTTAAATAAACATGCATTCATGATGTGATGCTGTATTTTTCACTTGATTCTTTTGAAATACTTTTCGTAAAATTATTATATTTTCTTGGTTATGTTAGGAAAAGCTTGTTTAATTATTGAAATTTAGATATATGTAAATTATCAGTTAGCCAGACCGCTGGCATGTGTATTGCAATTCACGGGTCTGACACATTTATGTTTATTTACATCATGATAAATATCACTTATATTATCTTAGACATTTATTTGAAGTTTTTTTAGTTTTCTTATCTAATTCTCTGTTTGACTTAAAGAAAGGAATTAGCATGCCGCTGGTTTTTGACATCTAGCGTGTTAACCCATTACTTCATAAGCATTTTGTGAAAAATGGCTGTTTTCATTAAAAAGTCTACCGTTACAAGTTCAAATTGCTATAAAACTGTAAAAACTGCTTCAATACTAATCAAACTTGTCACAAATGTTGACTTTACCATTGTCTTTGCAACAATATGCTCAGACTTAAATTTCCTGTTACCATGGCAACGAGGGGACATCTAAAAATTGCAAAAAATCACTATTTTGCGTTGATTTTTTTCCATCAAAATTGATTTCAAAGCGCTTTTACTTCTCAATGGATTGAGATAGAGTCAAATGCTTTTAAGAGTTGGTTACACGTTACCTTATGATACCTGTGGTCATTTTTTGCCTCTCACAAGTCCAAAATTTTACTTGCGATGACGTTGACTGCCGCCCCTTCAAACCCCCCAAACAGAAGGGGGCACATCCCCCTTCTGACAACCCTGATGTATCTTTTGGTTGGGAGCCGCGCCGAAAAGTGGTCACTTTTTTAACAACATTTCTCAAATGAAAACATATGTATGGGTCCCAATCAGGCCTTTTTTCCACTATTTAAGGCCTTAAAGAGGGGGGGGGTGGGGGGTTTCGCGTATATATGAGGTAAAGGGATAATCAGTCTAAATCGAACCATTCGATAATTTCACAACTGATGAATGGTAATTTCATTGGTGAATAATTTCTTGTTTAAAGGTCATTTTTTCATTGGTTAATAATTGAAACCTTTGTTAATTAAAGAGACAGAACTTTTTGAGATATTAGCAAGTCAGACAGAAAACATCTAATTTTTTAAGTTTAAAGCTTTAGTGCCGCAGTTTTCTGTGATACAATTCAATGTATATATATTGTTGTTTTCAACCGGTTGGAATTATTGTTTTAGAGATGAAAAAATAACTCTATTATAAAAACGGAAAATGGACTTATTGAGTTGTGTTTATAATAACTAAAGGATTTTAAATAAATACTGAAAATGAATAATTATTGAAAGATTAAACGGAAACCCCACCTCCCCAGTACCACCAATAGACCTTCATCACACATGGTGGACCAACCCCAACAGAACCCGCACAACACATGGCGAGTATATCGGTACCTCGAATCAGCAGCCAAGCGAGTGAAGATGTTATGCTGTATATATATTCCCCACTTTTAGGAAACAGGAACATTTGCAGCAATAATACTGGAAACACGAATGCAAAACAAGTAGACGAAACTTTGGTTAAGAGATTATGACGCATTGATGATTAAAAAAAATTGTAAGTGATTTGAGTGTGTGTGACTTATCTATTGTTACTGAATTGGTGTATAAACCTAGGATACATGTATTTAGTTTCATTTTTGTCTAAAGTGGTGGTTTGCTTGTGTTTTAGTGTCATTGGTCGGAATGATTTTTCATCATAATTTAATGTGCCACAACGGTATCCAGTATAAAGTTTCATGTGTTGATAACTGCATTATGTTTGATGTTTGATGATGATACATTAAATTGTTGAATAAGAAAATAAATAGTATTTTAAGGTATCGTCTATATAATGCATTCGTTTGCGAATTGATGTTGAACTATTGTGTATTCTGCAAAGGTGGAATGTATATATTCTAAAGACGGAATACAAGTTCCTAATCATCGGATATTGAAAACACTTTTAAATTTCAATAAATTAGCATGTACTTTGTACACATAATTTGCATTTTGATATGTATACTTATAGACTACAATGTCTGGTTTTATATTGGTATTTTAAAATTTCAAAAATAGCTTATATTATGTCTTCTTACATGCTGAGGTATAGCTATGTTAAAGTTGACTATATTAAATGTATTAATAAATAGAAATTTGCGACTTCATAAATACTAAATTGCAGAATGACTTTTACAGATGTTGTGTTGAATAAATTTTAAATAAATACTGGAGATGAATTACTATTACACTTTAACGGAATATTGCTGCAACATTGAGAATTATAATACAGAATTGTTTGTGAAAGAATATCATTATGACGGGCGAAATCTCCCCTCGACCACCCTCCCGACGAACACCGCACTACAATATACTTGATAGATGTTTTGCGACATTTTCATTACAACCTCCCCAAGCATTAAAAAACCAAAGCACCAGTAAACAGCCATTATATTTTAAGATGTGATAAAAGTAACGAAAGAAAAGGAAACCTGGGTAAGAAGAGCATGTATGAGTATTTCAATTCATATTACGCATTTTTTTTATAAATGCTGTAACCGTTTTGGAAGGTCATATTGCAAGTCCGTAAATTACTAACCATCTAATCAAAATTTCGTAAAAAGACAAAGAAATCTAAGACTCTCGAACCATGACGTCTACCTGATGTGTTTTTAAATCCGACTTATAAAACCAATTTTTTTCACTGTTGGTAAAATGTGATCACGTTAATTAATAAAACTGACGTCTTTCGTCTCTATTTCGACATATTCTTTATAATGCTGATTATTCAAACTTTCATTTCGAAACGTTTGATTTCAAACTGTCAAATTGAATACAGGCTGAAGTAATTATACCTATTAAATTGCTAGTAGCGTGTTTTGTATACTATTGTATAGTTGTATAGCTGGTATTAATTTCATTATTTATATTAAACGGAATTAACGCCACTTAAAAAAAATCGAATATTACGGCGATGCACGCACGTGTGCTTGAGGGCAGAGTAAAATAAAGAGACCGAGTTTGCAATTTTACAGTTTTTATTAATTATTTTGATCTCATTGCAAACAAGGGATTTCACCCTTCGTTTAAGGTTAAAGTCCCATACTCACTTTCCGATACTGTAATACTGTATAAAAACAAGGGCTTAAATCATCATCCAAAGTTTTTAAACAATACGTATGTAGAAGATTAAAGTGAATTTGTCTATAACGGATGGCCTGCAATACAATGTATAATTGCGTTGATCATAGTGTTTAGTACGAGACAACACCAAACCGCAAAATAATTATACATATAAGTTTTTAGCAAGTGTGAGATACATGATCCGATAAAACATTGATTTATTTAGTAGATAAATGGAAAAATTATAAATAACTCGGAACTCTTTCAACAATTTTTTTCAAGCAGCATTTTATAAGAGGAGTATCACCTTCAAGTTATTCAAGGAGTTATCAATGATCATCACAAATTATCCCAACTTATGATCCTGAGAATGTCGTTCATTCTGAATCAGTTCATGTTTGGGCACTGAATAAGGAGTGTTCGTCGAGACAATGTAGCTAATAAATGTATTATTACCTTTACCCCAAGGGTTTATGCACCTTTTGTGCACGTGCATTTAGGTCTGCTGCAGAAAGAGGAGGCATTTGATGTCCGAGACTGGAGTCTCTTTCAGTAATTACATGTATCATCTTAAAAATGAAATCACCAGGGCGGCTATTGCACTCACCGCATTTAATTACGCATAGTAAAATCATGCAAAAAGTACACCTGCGTGAGCAGTTTTTATGGATGAATTGAACACTCACCACTAATAAGAAGCTTAGTATGCGGACCTATCCGTTTAGCTTAGAACGCGTGTATGTCTTTAAATTTTAGGCCTTATCGGATGTGCTCAACCTTCGTGATAATTGTAGTGCTACTTTAAAAAATCATTTAAGAAATAATTATGACTTTGGAAGATAATGGATCTTTCACAGCCAGCTTGTCTGAACGGTGGGTCGATATAAACACCATCAGCTAGTCCCTTGTATGATAACGGTTGATAACGGAAGAAACACTTCTTTCATTATTTCTTCCATATGAAAATCTGGTAAGTGGAAAGAACTGGTAAAAGAAAATTGCAGACTATGTTTGGATCAGTTTGTTCATCAAAAATAAGAAAAGTTACATTATTTCCTCACACCATAATTCCTGTCAAGTGGTTCAAATCATCAGCCCTAGACTTTTTTAAATAAATGATATCGTAGGACTAAATCATGCAACATCACAGAGATGGAAACACTACGAAAGACTGGTGGGACATTGCATCTTCATGAATTCCCGATTTCAACTTCACAAATTCACGATTTCAACTGAACGAATTCACGATTTGTACTGAATGAATTCACGATTTCAACTTCACGATTTGAACGGTACGAATTTACTTTTTTGTGAAATTGAAATCGTGAATTCGTGAATTTGAAATCGTGAATTCGTTAATTTGAAATCGTGAATTCATGAATTTAAAATTGTGATCCATGCTGTTGAAATCGGCAATTCATGAAGTTGAAATCATGAATTCGTGAAGTTGACTTCGTGAATTCATGAAGTTAAAATCGTAAATTTCTGAAGTTAAAATCTGGAATAAATGAAACTGAAATCTGTAAATTTCCGGATGTTGAAAACGTGAATTCACGAAGTTAAAATAGTGAATTCATGGAGATGAAATCGGGAATTCATGAAGTTTAAATGGCCCTACTGGTTTTTCGTATAAAACGGAACAACACTGTACAGCTGCATCACAGTATCTTACAATTGCTATTTAACTCAGCAAAGTTTTTTTCTTTGTTTCAAACGTAAAACGAAAACTACCCAGATGTAAATGGTTGCGCTAAGAGTGAGATTTTATGCACTACTAACTAGAATAATCTCCAAAGTCGTGCTTTTGCTGATGACTGTTCAAAGGAGGCGCCCTTCAGTGTTCCTAAGATGTATGTTATGCTACTTGTCAATCTCCTACGCAGTGATCTCCCCTTATCACTACAGAGATCTCTGCCATCACAAACATTTAAATATCAATATTTTGATATTTTATATTTTTTAACTTTTTAATTTATATTTTTATTATTTTGTATACTTTTGATAAAATATAACGGACGTAGGAACGAAAAGTTAAAAATAAAGCGGAAAGAGAGAACTGACGATAGATTTTCTATGTAAACGGTCTATATTTACATTTGAATTTGGACTTTACGTCATGTGACTTTCATCATCATGTGACGTCTGTGACGGCAGTGATTACAATTCTGTCAAGGGAGGTAATCACTGTTATGAATTTGGCTTATTGTGGTAACACTTGTTATGCGCTTTGTTGTTTTTTTGTTGTCAACGGTAAGAACCCCTTTCCCCTAACATTTCAAGTTTTGACCCCCTTCCCTCTTTGGTCGTTTCCCTTTACACCTTATGACTTTGTTGTCCTTTTAATAAATGTATACTTCTTACAGTTTTTTGTTGGTTCTATAGTGATGCTCCTTTCCACTTATGGATCATGAATATTTTAAGAATACATATTTTTTTCTTAAGCAATTAAGTAATATTGAGTTAAAAGAATTGATAAATTACAAGCTTGTAACTTTTTCTTTGCTAAACTATAAATGAAAAATCATTGAAACTAGTTAAGTGTTATCCTCTATGTTATCAGTAGCTTTCAAATTTCCCATTTAATATTTTTAACCTTCCCCCAGGGAACCAAAAAAATATCGAAGCGATTGTAAATGCAATACCATGTCATGCATAGACTCAATCCTACAACCGGCAATGTTTACCTGTTTATTTTACCATCTGAGTAGGCGTAGTGATGAGATAAACATATATAGATTTTGCGTTGTCCGACCGGTTGCGTTCTTTTGTTTAAGCACATTAATGTTTGTCCGTGTTCAAAATTACAAAGAGAAAATGAAATCCCTTCGGAACGGTTACAGTCATTCTTTTCATGGACGGTAGTGAAAAATACATGCTACCGTCCATGCCCCTGATAGATACCGGCAGTAATCTTTTTTTAGGTTAGGGTCGCAAATAAGAGTTAATATCGCAACTTTACAGCTTTACTCCGAACATTATTATTTGGAAATTAGACAGATCCGTAAATGTGTTGATACCAAGGTGAACATTAAAACTTCAATTTGACAAGTTCGTGCTATTTCATGAAAAGCGGCATATAGTTGGAGGAATTCAAGGATTTTTATTTTATAGATCCTTCAATGCATACAACGTAATAAGCATAACTAGAAAAATCAGAGTTAAAAATATATTTAGCTTCTAATTGGATTACGTGTATAAAAACTTGAACATGAATTTGCACGCTTTCACTAAACTAGAATCCTATGTTAACATACCTGAAATGAAAGACCAAATCACAATACTTATCATACAAGTATAGCGTCATTTTATCACAAAATGGTTTTTATTTGTATCATAATTATAATCTAAGAGGAGTAAAAGAAAAAAGATACAAATATGATCATAAAATAGAAAGATAAAAAGTCCCTCAAAGCAACGAAGCGCCTAGATTAGAATGGTTAATACAAATTAAAGTAATTTATTCATCTCAATATCACTTCCTTGACGCTGAACCGTGAAGTAAACATTCAAGTATGCATTTACAATGTATTTGAAATCACCTACCGAATTGTATACATTTCAAAGAGAAACCCAACATATTATCGAGCTATGACAAATCGCACATTTTTAAACTGCGTTTGACTATTTCCTCAATTAGTGTGAATGTGGTTGTGGGAGTAGCATAAATATATACGAGTACATATTATTATTAGTTTTTCTTTGTATTTTGTTGTTATTGTTGTTTTTTCCAGCACAAATTAGTGCTATATACAGCCTATGAAAATAATGAAATATGCATTTTATGTTTGATCTTTCTATATTTCTTAGTATTGGACTATTACCGCTTTGAACAGTATTTCAATTCTAATAGCGGAGGAACTTATTGAACCGAGTGTTTTTCAAGTATAAACTTCTCAGGAGTACGAGGTGTACCCTGAATCATTAACAGTTTCAAAGGGTCACTAAGAACGTGCACATCGCGCAAACCATTTATACACATACACCCTTTCTTTCTAAGCAACGTATATTCTTAGTGTAGAATGTTAATAAAATAAATTAAAGTTAACTAAATGTAAT